GAAAGAAACATCGATGTGTGGGTTGCCTCTTGCACACCCCCAACTGGGGACCCAGCCCATAACCCAGGCACGTGCCCTGACTGGGAATCAAAATCAGCAACCCTTTGGTTCACAAGCCTGCACTCAATCCACTGAGTCACACCAGCCAGGGCTGAAGTCTCTTCCCTTTCAAAGGTGACTTTAGTTTTGGGAAAAGCTAGAAGTCGCAGGGTGCCAAACCTGGGCTGTAGAGAGGCTGGGTCACCTGGGAGATTTGATGTTTCACCAAAAAACTCTGCATGAGAGGTGATGTGTTGGCACGAGTGGGCATTTATCATAATGAAACTGCCAATCACCGTTTCCCATAGCTGCAGCCTTCTGAATCATCTAAGTAAGTTTCTGAGGAGGAATGTTCAGGTCTAACACAAAATTTGTTTCAGATTTCATTGCTCTATTCACTCAGTCATTTTTAATGTGATGGCCACATATACATATGCTCATTCAACAGCATCTACTGTCCCTGCTGACTAGTACAACGAAGTCATCATTGTTCACACATGTGCATTCTAGTCCACTCTCGTTGGCTGCCAGGTTACATCAGAGTCATCTGATGTCATTATACTAACAATGAGTGCAAACTGTTGTCGTTATATTAACAATGGATGGATTTTTTCCAGATAGACCTCGTACATGAAAATCAAATTGAAATTCCTTCACATTTACTTTAAATGCTTTGTTCCATTTTTTACTGAAATATTTACTTGTATGTACTAGAGCTACCTGCAAGACATTCACTCAATTTTATTTTATATTATGGTTTACTTTTTTTTTAAAGATTTTATTCATTTTTAGAGAGAAAAGGGAGAAAGAGAGGGAGAGAAACATTGATGTGAGAAACATCCACTAGTTGCCTCTCGCATGCCCCCAAATGCGGACCTGGCCCATAGCCCAGGCATGTGCTCTGACCAGGGATCAAACTGGCTACCTTTTGGCTCATAGGCCGATGCTCAATCCACTAAGCCAAACCAGTCAGGGTTAATTTAGATTTTTTAGACTCCCTACATAGTTCCCTACATAGACTCCCTCCTTAGTTCACTGAAGTATGAATATTATATTAATTATACCTACTTTAATATGCATGAGACTTTAGTTTTAGTAAATGCCTTGGTTTTGTTGCCTTCTGTGTAGTATGATTTGTTAATTATATTACATTTTTTAGCTATGTGACACTATACTTCTATTCCAGGTTAATACTGTGTATCAGAATTTAGGACTTCTCACATTGTAATACATTTATTTGAATAAAATAAGTTTATGAAACACACTCTAAAATCACTTTTACTACATAATGAAAGGCACTTATTTTTTCCAAAAAATTCTTCCATAAAATTGCAGTGCATTGTATGTGTGTTTGTATAAATATATATATTTTATATCTCATAAGCCAGCAAATATGATACTTCCAGGAGAACACTGACATCCATCACATCACATTATTAATTTGTCCTTTCTTGGTAGTTTGTAGACAATTCATTTCTAAGTGTGTTTTTGTTTCATAATTACATAAGCATTGTAAACTTAAGGAATTATATCGGTTTTATGTTTGTACATATATAAGTAACATTATTATAAAATTCAGGAAGAACCCATGTTGTATATTAGATCTACTACTGGTCTAAGTTGGGAATGTAACATACCAAAAAGCTAAGGAACCAATTTTAACAATAGCAAAAAATAAAATAAATTTCTTCAAATTATTAAAGAACTTAATTTTGGTACATGGTACTTGTGCTATCAAAAATCAGTACCTTGATATAAATTATGAGAACAGAAGGATAAGCTTTTGTAACTAAAAATGCCTGCTTGAGGGATTCATGAAATCAGATTTTAGGTAGCTCCTTCAATTCCTTAATTTTACAGAAGAAGAAAGAGAAATGGAAGCTACACTAGGTGTTCTAGACCTTTAGTTTTCCTTTGCCACTGTTTGGAACTTTTGCTTCTAAAAAAGTTTAAATTGCACCAGACACAAAAATACTAAAAACAATGCCTGAAACCATGAAGTTTGGTCAAGTGTCTCATTTCCTTTTCATCTGGTTAAAATACAAAAGTAGTACCCCGAAGATAGAAATCACAAAGATGCATGCCCAGTTAAGGCAGTATACATCAGTTTAAATAGAAACGAAGTTGGAGAACAGTATTTTCTCTATTGTCAAATTTCTATAGCTGGATCTCGTTGATGACATTTCTGCAGAAAAAGGATACATTATTTTCACAGGGTATCCAATGCTCTATAGAAATATTCTAGTTTTTAGCCAGTAAAAATAATTTAGTGGAATATAAAATCTCTACCCAAGCAAAAAAAAAAATCCAGTTGCATTCTTTATGTAATTATTTTTTAAAAATACTTAGACTTGAGACCTTAAAACACTAGTCATAAAAAAATTCTATAAAAACCAGCTATTTCTTTCACTCTCATACTACTATAAATCAATCCTTTGCTGAAAATCAGTTTATCCTAGTTCAAAATACACTGCTACACTATATATATTATCTTCTTGATGTCACTAATAATTAGACATAATTTTAGTATTTTTAAATTCCATAACTTATTTAAAAGTCATTGTACTAAATGAACTGTGCAGAAATCCAAAGTAACCAGCAACCAGATCAACCTTGTTATGGTCTCATTATTATTAACATGTAACAGTGACAGCCTAATATTTGCAATTACTTTTTCCCTTAGGAAATGTATACATTAGCTATTGTCATCAAAGTATATTAATTTCTTCAAGGAAACTTTTCGTATGTAAGAAACGTGACAACACTTTTCAAAATAATCAAATACTGCCATTAAGGCTTCAAAAATATGAGGTAAAAATGCAAGTTATATATATAAAACACTAAACTGTGAATTGTAACTAAGTTCACGATTTCAATTTATTATTATTATTTTTTAATCCTCGCTTGAGTATTTTTTTTCATGGCTTTTCAGAGAGAAGAAGGGAAGGAGAGAGAAAAACTCCCTCTCACATCGATGTGAGAGAGAAACATCAACTGGTTGCCTCCCATACACCCCTGGACAAAGGATCAGACCTGCAACCTAGGTATGCGCCCTGACTAGGACTGGAACCACCAACCCTTCAGCTATGGGATGACACTCCTACCAAATGAGCCACACAGGCCAGGGCACAATTTCAATTTAAATGGCAGAGTTAACATTTCCTATGGCAAAATTACCTTAATTATTCTAAGTTAAAACAAAAATCCCTTGTACTAATGGTTAAGTTACTATACCATATTTCACATTAATGGTATACTTCCAGGGATAGTTTTAAATGACACAGAACTATTGGTTTTCTGTCTGCCTTTTAATTGATACACTGATATATTTATACCATAAAGAAAGTTAACAAACCCTTAACTTACAGCAACTTTGAAGTTTATTTTACAGCACTTTTATTAAGAAATCATGTAACTACTGACCAGGACTGTTTACAAATGTAATGCTTGGCCTTTGAAACAATTAAAAACTTAAGTACTAAAATTTTACATCATGATTTGTTTAACTTAAGAAGTGTTATGATGGTAAAAACTGACAGAAGAAAATCTAAAGCAAAAATATGATTTCCACAAAAACCATATATTTCTCCCTTATATCAAAGGGAAGGAGAAAAGGGAAGGAAGAAAAAAAGGAAAAGAAAAAATGATGAGAAGAGAAAAAGGGCAAGACAGGCAAGAAAAATAGTTTTATTCCCCATTTGCAAAAGAGGAAACTCTGAGGTCTCAGCAATTAACGTAATCAACTGAGTCAGTTTATATTAAGGCATCTTCTTTACATATTATTGAATCCCATCATGCCTTTCATATTGCCAGCAGCACCTTGTTGAAACTGCCTCATCATTGACTGAAGTCCAGCCATACCACCTAGAGAGAGAATAAAATCGGGTAATTATTAAGTAGAACTTGAAGCATTTGTTACTTTTACCTAATAAGTACTTTAACTTCTAAAAATATACTGGGTTCTGACTGCAATTTGGTCATCATCCTTAAAGAACACACCAAATCAAAATTTGTATATTCACCAGTATCCTCATATAAATGAGGTAATACCTGAAAAAGACCTTGGAACAATGTCTGTTGCACAGTAAGGATTCAATAAATCTATACAAAAAGTTTATTTTCTGCGAAATCCAAAGTTTTATTGTAAATAGTAATCAATTTGGGAGGGCAGGGAGTTATTTCCCAGGATTCACAGAAAGAGCTGACTATTTATTGAACATCTACCATATGCTCAGAAATGTATCAAATGCTTTAACATGTATTAGTTCATTTAATTGTCACAATTTCATGATGAGATATTATTTGTGATTTTAAAGAAGGAGCAAGGAAGGTTCAGAAAGTTTAAGGAACTTTTTATAGGCTACATAATAAAATTGGAATTGGGTTTCAAAATCCTTATATAATTTCAAAGTCTCATCACTGAAAATATCCAGGTTCTAAACCAGGACAAAAGCATTAACGAAAGATGATTAAATAACTTGCTCAAAAATTACACAAGTGAAATTTTTCACTTGACAAGTGAATAAAACTTCAGCTTATATAGCACAATTACAACCATTCAACTTGAAATTCAGATGGCTATTTCCTTCAAATCACACATCTGTTGAACAGATTTCATAATCTCGCAACAGAAGGCTTTATCATAATTCAACTCTTACACCCCTGGCCAGTGTGGCTCAGTTGGTTGGAGCATAGTCCCAAAAACGAAATGTTGTGGGTTTGATTCCTGGTCAGGGCACATACCTAGTTTGTAAGTCCTATCCTGGTCCAGAAGCATATGGGAGGCAATCTACGCTTTTCTTTTGCATCGATGATTCTCTCTCTCCCTCCCTCTCTCCCATTCCCTCTCTCTAAAAGCAATGAAAAAATGTCCTCGGCTGAGGATTAAAAAAACAAACAAGCAAACACACTCAACCCTGTATTTAAACTGTTTTAGCAACTGACAACAACTCTGTATTTACCCATGTGATGAAGAACTCTTGGATCCATCATTTTGGCCATTTGTTGATTCAATTTTGCCATCTGTGACTGGCTCACATTCTTAGACATGTCACCACCTGAAAATAAAAAAGGTTTTGAGTCAGTACAGAATGTAATACAATCAGGATATTATAGAAAGTTTAATAAATTGAGTAAATAAAAAAAAATCACCTATAATCTTATCACTCTAACACAGTAATTTCTAATTTGTACATATTCTCTTCTAATCTTTATCTCAATTACATATATACTTTTGAGAAAGTATAAGTGAAATTCTTCATTAAGGAAAATTTAAGGGACTTTCTTCAAGGCTAAGATTTTTCTTAATACTTTGTTATACCTGTGAATGAGCCACTATAAGCAGAACTGTATCCAGAGGTTATTAATGTAAGCTATAACAACAATTTTTTAAGTGATATGAGAGAATGCCACACAAAAAACTGTGTTTATAGATACGGATTCATTAAGGAAAGAGACTTGATTGCTGGAAAATAAGAAAGGAATGAGTCTAAGGGAACCTGAAAATTTGTACACATCTAAGAAACTATTAAAAGTAACAGAAAGCTTCAGAGAATAGTAAAACAAATGATCAAACTCCATTTATCAATGGATTTCCACACACTTTGGTAAAACTCCACAGTAAAAAAGGCAGCCAATGACCGAGATGCACTCTGGGGCAGAACAGGCAAGAGTTTTCCTTTAGAGAATAGCTGGTATGATTAATCGACAGGAAGCAAAAGACATCAGTTCCACAACAATGAATAAACAAAATTGCTTCAACAAAATTATTTCAAAGGAACGTTAACTCTGATACTTCTCAAGAGCATTTAGGAAAATGAAAACCAAAGCTGCCCCTGATTCTCTGATCAAAGCTGGCTAATCTGAATAATTATATGAACTATGAATAAAAGAGATGTTTTTTAATACAACATAATAAAATCTGTGAAAAATAAATCTGGGTAAGATGTGAATTGTATGTCCACTGGTGATTCGTTGTAAAAGTCTGTTTGAGGATTTTTAAAACTTATAAAAATATTAACAGTTTGGAATGACAAGGATATGCCCCATTATCCAATGTCCATTTTATCTTGGTTGTGCCTTTATTGAGTAATCAATGCTTAGGTAAGATCTGAATGATGGATCTGCAGTAGTTCTATGAAGAACAGTCAAGATCATTTGGGAAGGATGTTAAACTACACATATTTATTAATCACCATCTGAAAAAGCATGTGATGTTAGGAACTATAACCAATTTTAAACATGTTTGTCTCACTGTTTTCCCTTGTCACAAAAGAGAAACTAAGATATAGCAAGCAAAGAAATAAGAAAAGTGTCAAAGACAAAAGGTGATAAGAACTTCTATAAATACTCATTTTTTAAGAAAGCTATTCAGTAGTACTATTCATCTTTAGTATGGACCTAATCGATATTTTTTGAAATAATAAATTCACTTTAGTAATGTTTATAATATAGAAAAAATTAAAAGAGGACTGGGACAGTTGATTTAATTATTTGGAAAAACAAGCTTATTTTTTAACCTTACACAATACGGAACAAAATAAATTTCAGATGGGACAAAAAGTAAAACCTAAAATTTAAATAAAACCAAAATAAGGAGAAGAAAATATAGATGACAACTTCTGTATCAACATGGAAGAACTTTTATAAGCATAAAAGAAGTCAAAGAAAATGATAAACAGCCTTGGTTACATTAAAAATAAAAAACTGTTCATTAAAAAAATATTGTAAAAACAAAACAAGTGAAAACCTGCAAAAAATATTCACAGACATAAACCAAGGATTTTAAAGAGTTATTACAGAGCAATAACAGAAAAAATGAAATAAGTAAACAGGAAACCTAAGAGGTGATTCACAAAGAAAATTCAAACCAGTAAATGTACAGACATGTTAAATTTGATTAGTACTCTAAAAAACACATATTAAAAAACATTTAACCATTAAATTGGAAATATTAAATTATTACAAAATTTATTCAGCATTTACTATGTTTCTGATCTCACAGACAAAATCCCTAGCCTTATGGAAGATGGCAGAGAATCTGATGCAAAACTGGTATTGATAGAGAAGCAGATGAAATCAGCCTAAATATCCAACAAAAAAGCATTACGTTAAACCAAAGATACATGCTGAACTGAAATAGTATTCAGTGGTTAAAAGTTATATTTTGAAGAATATTTAATAATATGAAAAATAGTCACAATGCATCAGAAGAAAACACAAGTTAAATAAAAAATTATTTGCAATAGGACCCATGAGATTTTCTGGGGAGTAAAGGTAACGGGGCTTTTAAATTTTTTTTTCTTATACTCCTTATATTTTAAAATATATTTTACAGCTTCAAAAAATAAAGTCATTAAGTTAGTTTTTAAAAATATTAGGATTTATCACCTTAAATATAAAAACAGATAAATCAGAGATCGCATTATGAATCACTATGTTATAATTTTATTATAACATGAAATTTAGCAATACATTTTCTAATACTGGTAGTATTCCTGGCTTAAATTTTGTTTCTCAACTTACTTTCAGTGTGTTAACTAATGATCAACTTATTTTTCTTACCTTTGAAAAGTCCTTTGATACCTCCCATCTTTTTTACCATCTGTGCAAATTTGGTATATTGTGTCAAAAGTTCCTGAACATCTCTTGTTGACACACCGGATCCTCTTGCTACTCTTTGGATTCTTCCTGGTTGCTTACTAAAAACTTTGGCACCATCTGTACTGTCAAGTTCTGCAGGCAAGGGTCAATTACTTTCATTTATACACAATTAATATTCATTATTAAAGCAGTTATGTGCAAATATCTTACACACGTAAAAACAAGTAAAATTGTCATACCACCACCAGATTTAAGAACTGTTATCACCTGCCTGTTTGTCTGATTTTTAAAAGTTAAACATAGAATATATTCAAAAGAATATTCATAAGCTAGGAAATACACACATACCCTATTGTTTAAGTAAAATAGAACATTCTGAAAACCTTTGAAACTCACGTCCACCCTCCCTTTCCATAGCTCATATCTAACTACTCCTCAGAATATACACCAGAGCTAAAAGGTGTATTTCAGAAAAGAACAAAAGTGCTCACCTTTGCTCTAAATACTATTAACCAATAAATCATAAGTTCAGACATATAAGCAAGCAGAAATAGGCAGTTTTAGCTATAATCAACAGAATAATAGTTATATTTCCTATAATCAAGTGAGTACTACTAGTATTTTAACCCTTTCTGTAACATAAGAATAAGTTAATTCGCTTCAGTGTTTTTGATAACTGTTCAAATACGAGGTGTGTTCTTCTGGTGTTAATTGCATACGCTCTCAGAAATGAGATAGCCTTTAGTAAAAATTTTTATTATGTCTGCATGTTCTCTACAACATACCCCAATAAGTGGTCATCTAGCCTTGGTGCTCATATCCCCAGGAGAGGAGGCCCACTATCTAAAATAAGGCAATCTATGCCATTCTATTTTATCTGTAATTATGGAAAATCTTTTCACATATTAAAATGAAATATGTTTGCCTGGTACTTCTTCCTATTTGCAATAATATCTCCTTTCCAAGCAAAAAGAATAAGGCTTTCTAATATTTGAGAGCCACATTTAACCTATGAATTTTCTAGGTGACAAACATCCAAGTCTTTTGACTGTTTCTCTTATAATATGGCTTAGAACCCCATTTATCATCATGATTTTTCTAAATACAACTTCTATTTTGTCTATGCCCTCTAAGCTTACTGTCCAGAGTGAACTGAAATCCAGATGAAGTTTGACTACCAATACAACGCAAATAAAGATCAAACTGTCTCATAATAAGCTTATACTCCATTACAACCTGTAAATCCATTTCATAAATGCAGCTTTTAAGCCACATCTTCACTATAAAATATTTAGGAAAGGTGTGTCATATTCCTTTCAAGAGCTCAAATAGAGTGAAAGAAGATAAGCTAGTAACAGCACATCATGGTAAGCAATATGACAGAGTTAAGCAAATTGCAGAAGATGACATAATTTAAAGAAGACAGGAAATCAGGAAAGGCTCCATGTGATAGTTTCTGAGTAGTCCTGAAGGACAAGTATGAGTTAAGTACAGAAGAGAAAGGACCAAGGGATGTTCCAGGAAGTAGAACATGGTTCCTGGAGTAATGATTGTGTGTAGAGGGAACCAAGCATGGGTAAGAGCTGAGATTTAAGAAGTTGCAAAAGTAGGTAAGGATAAGGTTACAACAGAATTTGTATGCCAGGCTTAGGAGTTTAGAATTCATCATAAAGACAAAAAACCATTGAAAGAGTTTGACTCCAGAACTATCATATTTAGAAAGACCATTCTTGTATCAGTGAAGAAAGATTGAAATGAGGAGTGAAAAAAGAGAAAGGGAAATGTTAAGAGGTTACTATAGCAACCCAGATAAGAAGTGATGAATGTATGAAATAATGCAAGGGATATAGAGACAAAGAGAACAGGGAATATATGAGAAGTACTTAGTAAGTAGAACTCACTAAAATCTAAAGTGAACTTTAGGTTTCTATATTTCACTTGAAGTGTAAAACATGGATACAAGTAGCTGTGTTAAGTTAAATATGTATGTATATGGTAATACCTAGAGCAACCAAGAAAAGTATTCAGATATACACTCAAAAACACCATAGGTACATTAAAATAGTGTTCAAGTAACCCACAGGAGAGTAGAAAAGAGAAAGCAGAAGAACAAAATCAAAGGGAACAAACAAAATAACAAAATGGCAGAACTAAGTCCTAGTACATGATTAATATATCAGTTAAGAGATTATCAGAAGGTATTAAAAGAAAAAACAACCCAACTGCATGCTGTTAACATGAGACTCACTTCAAATATGATATAGATAGGTTAAAAGTAAAAGGATGAAAAAAATACATAATGGAAAAAACTAATTAAAAGAAAGCTGAAGTGGTTGTATTAATGTCAAAGTAGGTCAGGAACAAAGGAAGACATTACATACATAATGATAAAGGGTCAATTCACCAAGATGACATAACAATTCTAAATGTGTGTGCATCCAACAAAAAAGCTTCAAAATACATAAAGCAAAACTGACACATCAGAAAAGAGAAAAGTTAGGCACTTCAATACTTTCTCTCTACAATCAAAAGAACCAGTAGATAGAAAATCAGCAAGGATATAAATCTAAGTTGATCGTCGTTTCTAGCTTAGGTGACTGTGTAGATAGCTGGAAATATCACTCACCAAGGGAGAATAACTACATTTTGGATTTGCTATGCCTCAGGAAACTTTTAAACATGAAAACAGAGATGTCTGTCCACCATTTAGTGAGTAGCTAGAGAGAAGGTGATCCAGAGTGTAGACTCTTGAGCCAGAATAATTGAGTTTGAAGACCAGCCTCTCAACTGTGTAGCTAGCGATCTGGAGGAAATTACTACACTTCCCTGTATCTCAGTTTCCAAATCTGCAAAAGCTATGTAACAATGAGTGTTGACCCCAGAATTGCCCCTTCATAGTTGTGAAAATTAAGTGTTATGAGTACATGTTAAATGCTAAGGACAGTGCCTAGGACAGAGTAAATACTCTGGATATGACTGCAATTATTAATTCTACATGCAAAACATTTGCAGTGTTGAAGATACAGAGATAAGAAAAACACAATCTTATTTAAGTTACTATGAAAGTCTAGAGCTCAAGAAAGAAGTAGAGACTACAATAAATGAACAACCAATTTCCCATAGATGTGGGAAATAAAAGAATAAAAAATGAGAAGAATGATTAGAAAAAACTACCTGAGGAGAAACTCTGCAGCATATATTCGCTTAAGAGATGGACTGAGGACACCAGTAAGAGAGGGAGTTAATGGGAAAGGTAGAAGTTAAAGTGGGGAGATGGTATAATAGAAACTAAAAAAAAAACAGTGATTAACAGCCAATGTTGTAAAGGTCAAGAAAGTGACTGAAAAGCACCATTGGAGTAAACCAGCAGAAGGTTATTGGAGATCTCTGTATGGTCTATTTCAGAGTAATGGTGGGGACAGAAGTCAGATTTCAGTAGTTCAAGAATAATATAAACTGTTCTTTTAAGAAGCATAGAGTAAAAGCATGAGGGAGAAGTAAAACCCAGAAAATGTGAATTTAAGAATATTTATATGCTGAGGGGGAAAATAAGTCAGTAGGTATAGAGAGACTAGAGATATAGGATTTTACTGATGTTGGGAGGTCCTTGAAAACGCTTGAAAAAGTTTGTGGCTGGCACAATCTTGCAGGTTAGGTAGTCAAAGTCAGAAAGAATCCAATGCAAAAATCCTGTATTTCTTTGTAAATGAGGCCAGGGGTCAAGTGGTAGAGTAGAAGGCCTTACCAAAAAAAAAAAAAAAAAAAAAAAAGACATGTTTAGTGTACCTGTTGTGTTGAATAAGAAAGGATGCTTAAAAACAAGTAAAAAGAGACAGACATGGGCAAGGTGGTGGAGGAGTGAATGGAAATCACGCTGCCTCCCATTTTGAGAAAGAAGAAAAAAGTAGGAGGGATCACAATTCCTAACATAAAACTGTATTACAAGGCCACTGTAATCAAAATAACCTGGTACTGGTGTAAGAACAGACACATGGATCAATGGAACAGAACAGAGAGCCCAGAAATAAACCCATGTCTCTATGGTCAATTAATGTTTGACAAAGGGGGTAGGAGTTAAAAATAGCCTCTTCAACAAATGGTGTTGGGAGATCTGGACAGCTACATGCAAAAAAATGAAACTCGACCACCAACTTTCACCATATACAAAAATAAACTCAAGATGGATAAGAGACTTAAATATAAGTTGCGACTCTGTAACAGTCCTAGAGGATAGCCTAGGCAGGAAAATTTCAGATACTCCACGCAACAACACTTTCACTGATATGTCCCCTACAGCAAGGGATAAAAAGTAAGGAATAAACAAATGGGACTACATCAAATTTAAAAATTTCTTCACAGCTGAACAAAACATCAGCAAAATGAAAAAGGAACCTAATGTATACGAAAATATATTTGCCAATGATACCTCAAAGGTTTGAGCTCCAAAACATAAAGAACTCAAACAACTCCACTCCAGGAAGACAAACAATCCAACTAAAAAATGGGCAAAGGACCTGAACAGACACTTCTCCAAGGAGGACATACAGAGGCCCCAGAGACATATGACAGGATGCTCAGCATCACTAGCCATCAGAGAAATGCAAATTAAAACCACAATGAACCACTCCTTCATACCAGTCAGAATGGCCATCAAAAACAAATCAACAAACTCCAAGTGTTGGTGAGGTTATGGAGAAAGGGAACCCTAGTGCACTGCTGGTGGGAATGCTGACTGGTGCACCCACTGTGGAAAACAGTTTGGAATTTCTTTTCTACCAACATCATGAAAAACTAATGTTCTTTCCATTGAAGTCATTTGAAGAAGCACTGTACTAGAACTTTCTCCTAAAGATGTCCATCTAATAATGATTATCTTTTGAGTAAGAGCTTTCAAATACAAATCTACCTAACAAAAATCTTGCAGTCTAAATTTTTCTCCATCTTGTCCAAAAGACCACAGTGAAACACTCAGCTTGCTGATATTTAGAACAAGTACTCTTACCTTGATCATTCATACTGTCCATTATCGTCATTAATTTCTTTAGCCTTGCCATTGACTCCTGTTCATTTCCTTTGCTCATAAAATCTGTCCCAAAACCAGGAATCATACCCTAAAATAGATATATTTAAAAATAAAATCAGTAATAGCTTGAGAATAATTGTTCAGAATGTTGACATTTAATTATTGGCTTTAACAATTGACACTGATTTTTTATTTTTTAGATTTTATTTGCTTTTTTTAAAGTATTTCAGATTTTTTTTTACAGACTTTATTTATTTATTTTATCTTTAGACAGAGGGGGAGGCAGAAAGAGGGAAACATCAATGGGTAGTCGCCTCTCGTGCACGCCCCACTGGGCACCCAGCCTGCAATCCAGGCAGGCCGGCACTCAATCCACTGAGCCACACCAGCCAGGGCTGATTTTATTTGTTTTTAGAGAGAGGGAAAGGGAGGGAGAAAGAGAGAGAGAGAAATATCAATGTGAGAAACATTGATGGGTTGCCTACTGTACATGCCTTAACAGGAGACTGAACCCGCCAACTCAGGCATGTGCCCTGGCCAGAGAATCGAACCAGAAACTTTTTGCTTTGTGGGATGACATCCAACCAACTGAACCACACTGGTAAGTGCTTGGCATTAAGTTTTTAAAGTATGCATTTTTACCCAAATATGAAAAATAATTAAAGCTAGTTCATCTGTTCTTAGAAATTTTAATGATAAAACAAGTTAGAAAAAACTTTTTATAACTAACCAAGATTTGACTGAAGGGGCCCATTTTCATGATATTTTGAAATTGTTCGTACATGTCTCGCAACGTAAACTGACCTGAAATATAATATAAATGAGTCAGATATATCAGAGAATGTACATTTCATTTAATAAAATATTTTCCTTAATCACTGGTTCACCTTGAAGCACACTTATAAAATATCCAATCAATAAATATTCACTGAGCAGTTATTATGTGCAAGATCGTAGTATGCAGCAGATAATGTACAGATACACAGATCCTATCCTAGAGAAGCTCTACATTCTATCAGAGAAAATGGAATAAGCAAATATACAAAAAACTTGAACACACAGCAGACAAACTACGTCAACTAGGATGACTAAACTTAAAAAGCCTGATGATACCAAAACTTAAAGATGCAGAGCCCACAGCAATCTTGAGAGAGAAGGACAAAGTTAGAGGACTCATGCTACCTGATATCAAACTATACCACATGGCCACAGTAATCAAAACAGCATGGTACTGGCGTAAATACCAATATAAAGATCAATAGAACAGAATAGAGACCCCAGAAATACACCTATGCCTTTATAATCAATTAATATTTGAAAAAGGAGGCAAGAACATACAATGAGGTAAAGACAGCCTATTCAATAAATGGTGTTAGAAAAATTGGACAAATATATGTAAAAATGAAACTAAATGACTTTCTTATACTATACACAAGAATAAACTCAAAATGGATTAAAGATGTAAATGTTAAAGACTGTAAACCATAAAAAACCTAGAAGAAAATATAAGAAGTAAAATCTCAGACATTTCTTGTAGCAATATTTTTTCTGATATATTTCCTTGGGCAACAGAAACAAGAACAAAAAAATAAACAAAAAGTACTACACAAAACTAACAAGTTTTTGCACGGCAAAGGAAACCAAAACAAAATGAAAAGACAACCCACTGAACAGGAGAACATATTTACCGATACATCTGATAAGGGGTTAATTTCCAAAATTTATAAAAACCTTATACAACTCAACACCAAAAAACCCAATTAAAAAATGGGCAAAGGACCTGCATAGATACTTCTCCAACAAGGACATACAGATTGTCAACAGACATGAAAAGATGCTGAACATCACTAATCATCAGAGAAATGCAAATTAAAACCACAATGAGATATCACCTCACACCTGTCAGAAGGCTTATCATCAATAGATGAAGAAATAACAAGTGTTGGCGAGGATGTGAATAAAAGGGAACCCTTGTGCACTGTTGGTGGGAATGCAGACTGGTGCAGCCATTGTGAAAAGCAGTATGGAGTTACCTCGAAAAATTAAAAATGGAACTGCCTATGACCCAGTGATTCCACTTCTGGGAATATTATCTGAAAAAACCCAAGACACTAACTTGAAAGAATATATGCACCCCTATTTCCATTATAGCGCTATTTACAATAGCCAAGATTTGGAAGCAGCCCAAATGCCCATTAGGTGAGTGGATAAAAAAAGCTGTGGAACATTGACACAATGGACTACTACTCGGCTGTAAAAATGAAGAAAATCTTACCTTTTGCAACAGCATAGGTGGACCTGGAGAGTATTACGCTAAGTGAAATAAGCCAGTCAGAGAAAGACAAACACCATGTAATTTCACTTATATGTGGAATCTAATGAACAAAATAAACAAACAAAAAAGATGTGGAACAAGCAGAACTGTCATAAATTGCTGATGAGAATGTAAAATGGCAGACACTTTAGATGATTATTCGGAGTTTCTTAAACAGCTCAGAAGTCCGTAAACTGGAAAATGAGTAGACTGCGGATGAAGTACTATTCAGCAATAAAAAGAACAGGCTACAGGTAAGTACAACTACATGAAGTAACATAAAAAATATTATCCTGAGTCAAAGAAATCAGATAGGGGGAAAAAGGACATACTCTAGGATTTCTATAATATGGTTTACCAAGAAAGGGAATAAACTTTCTAGAGCAATGGAAATGTTGTTTCATGATGGAGTATAGATTATTGAACATTTGTCAAAAGTGATGAAGTAATATTCTTACAACCAGAGCATTTCATCATATGCAAATTAATTTCAACTAAAAAACAGAGTTAATAAGACAAAGCAGAAAAAGTACTTTCTATTTATGTCCTAAAGATACAAATGGAAAAGGTATTTGGTTTTAAACCTTCTGAATTTGAAGTGGCAGTACAGTATCTTAAAAAGAAATGTTATAGCAGGCAGCTAAAAATGCAGAATTAAACAGTGGTAGAGAAGGTTAAGGCTGACATACATAGTTGGCCATTATACAGATGTGACAATTGAAGCTACGATAATGTAGGAAATCTATTGTCATGGCACCCAAGTGAAGAGTTCAAAAATAGAAAAGGCAGATAACACTATTAAATATTGGGAACCAAGGGGAACAAAAGGTCACTACATTTGGACAGAAGGCCCTTGGTGACGTCAGAGTTGAACAGGATATTAAGAGTAGAAGCAAAATATGGAGAGACATAAGGCATGACCCAGGAGTCAGAAAGTAGGCTTACTAGGAATATATTACCCAGTTTAGTGTGGTAGTAAAACCAGTGGTAGGGTTAGTTAAGATAGTGGAAAGCAGGGGGAAAGATTCAGGCAATAAAGGATAGATTCATTCATTCAACAAATATTTACTAAAGACCCACTGAGTGCCAGAAACTGAGCTGGGTACTGTGAACATAAAAGATAAAAAACACAACTGTGAAACCTACCTTCATCTTTAAGCAGGAAGGACAGACATCAAATAATTGTGACGAATAATACATCAATTACAGAGTGCAATAGCAAAGGGTTCTTAGCTTAGGAAGCAGGTAAAATGTCCCTGTAAGACCTGTAGGGTGAGATCTGAAGTTGAAGTAGGAGTAGGAGTAGAAGTAGGAGTTAGCCAGTTTGGCTGAGAAGAGGAGGACAGAAGTAGAAAGAAGAGAGAATGCTTGTCTAATAGTCATCTAGCCAGTGCAAAGTCCCAGAGCTGAGACAGCAATATATCTTTGAGCAACTAAGAAAAATTCAGCATGAATGGCACATGGAATGCTAAGAATAGTGTCAAAACATGACTAGGAAGATGTGAGCTAGATGGCAGTCATTTAAACATTCAAAGAGCAATGGGAAGCTGCTGAAAAGATTTTTAAGAAAGGCAGTTTAACAAAATCAGACTTGCATTCTGAAAGACCATTTTGGCTGCCATATAAAAAATAGATTCAAGTGGAAGAGTACAAGAGGCTAGATGATGTTAAAAGACTTAGATCTAACAATCTAGGCAAGAGATAAACTTGCATGGATGCAGAGCAGCTAGAGAGAAGGGGATGGAATAGAGATAATTAGGAGAGAGAATCAATCACCAGGACTAACTGAATGATGGGAAAAGGAGTAGACTGAATGAGGAAGAGATCAGAGTCAATGACAACATCCAAGTTTATGATAGGCAAAAAGACAAATTATGTTATCATTCACTGGTGATAACAATGGGGTGGGAGGTTGGGATGGGAAGATAAGGACATGTTGAACTTGAACTACCTATAAAACATCCAAGAATGGTCTAGTAAATGTATAGGTATGAATATGAAGCTCTAGAGAAAGAAGATGGCCTAAAATGATCTTTGAAAAACACCAACATTAAAGACAGAGGTAAATGCCTCGGTACCTAACAAGATGAGTGAGAAGGAGCAAAAAGGCAAGATAGCATGTGACCATGGAAATTAAGAGTAATATCTTTTTGAGAAAAACTGATCGATAATACATGTTGAATGTTTCTGATGTGCTGGACATTTACATACATCAGATAATTTAACCTTCATAACTCTATGAAGAAGATACTTGGTATTATCTACTTTTTATAGATAAGGAAATTGAAGTTAAGTGATTTAAAACAGTTATATGCTACATTTAAGAACCTGAGGTCTTAGTCACAATAATAGACTTCTCTATTTCAGAGTGGAGTGAAGAAAATATGCTTCTGTATTTAATTTCATTCTCTTTTTTATTTCTTTTATTGTTGACACTACTGCAGATGTGTCCCATTTCCTTATAGTTTGCCCATCTCCACCCAGCCCTACCCCCACCTCCCTTGGCCTTCACCACAGTATTGTTTGTATCCATGGGCTATGCATGTTTTTTCTTTTTTTATAGTTTATCATAGATCCATTATTTATAAGTAAACAAACAGATTAAAAAAGAGTGTTCTAACTTTTAACCTGTTTTACTTTAAGGAACCCAATGAAAGTCTCAATTTTAACTTTAAGGATATCTGATTACAATAAAAAAATGTAATTTCATAATTGCTCAGATGTCTGAGATTTAAAATGATCTGCATATAAATCATCTAAAAAATAAACATTTCAAGAATTGACTTTTGTAACAGATTTATCATTTCAAACAAATTAAGACTAGCTTTATTAATAAGAAATCAAGAGAAGCTATATGAGATTAAATTCTTTTGGCTATTCATTATACCATGTTTCAACTTCTCTATAAGAGCTTCATTGTCATCCAACTTCAACTCGTTGACTTTATCTATCAGTCCTTCAATGTCACCCATACCTATAAATATCAAAAAAAGTAGTATTAACAATAGTACACCTTGCTTTACATTACACAAAATGCATGCACATACATAATAACCCTGTGAGATAGGCTCCGTTATTTCTATTTCACTTTATAGGTGAGAAAACAGAAGCTGATAGGCTCCGTTATTTCTATTTCACTTTATAGGTGAGAAAACAGAAGCTAGAGAGGTTAAGTGACAAAGCCCAGGGTTTCATTCCATATTCCATGCTCTCTGTAACACCTGAAGACATTATGGAAGTTTTACTGCCATTACCACTGCTATTATTACAACCACATATTTTTGTATTGTGCTTTAAAACTTTTCCAAAGAACTTGCCATCTAATAACTCATGTTACCATCATCCCTATTTCACAAGTGAGGAAGATAAATCAAGGAAGGAAATGATTTTCCTGAACTAGTTAGTGATAGGACAGGATTAAAATTCTAATCTGTCCTAAAGATCCACGCTATTCCTTGGAGATTTGTGTGTATCCCACCAGCATACATACCAAGAAGTTTGCTAATGAAAGGCTGTGTTTTGAAAGGTTCAAAGTCATCTATATGTTCCCCTGTACCAATGAAAATAATTGGACTTTTTGTGGCAGCAACTCTGCAACAAGAAAACATAAAAGGAAATCAAATTTCTCACTCATTTCAAAGCTAAGTAGACAAAAGTACATTGCTCAAGTGTCTTTTAACTAGTTAAACAGAACTATTTATCAAAGCAACTCCAAAATTTTTCTATTTAAACTTTCATAGATCATATGAAAGGATCATAGGTCCACTATTGGAACATATTTAAATAAAAAAGACACACACACACACACACACACACACACACCACTTCCCCCCCGCCAATATAAGCCTAAGATATAGGACAAGAGCATCAAAGATACTTACGCACTGAGTGCACCACCTCCTTTTGCATGGCCATCAAGTTTTGTCACTATTACTGAAGCTACATCTACTTTATCTTTAAAAGCCTTAGCCTGGGCTTCACAAGCTTGTCCAATGGAGGCATCCATCACATAAACAATGTTATCAGGTTGCTAGAAAATTTTAATAGAAAAGATACATATTTTTACTGATCTTCAGCAATTTCATCATTAGAAGCTATGTAAAATATTTATTGTAAATCATTATTTGTTCAATCAACAAATATTTATTGAGGGAGTACTATGTTATAGGCACTATTCAAATCCTTGTCCTGGTGGGATTTACATTCTAGTCAGAGGAAACTGATAATAGACAAATAAACATTTCAGGTGTACAAAACAATTAAAATGGGATAAAGAATATCAGTTTTGAGGTGTGGAAGACTTCTGTAGTTAGAGTAGTCAGGGAAGGTCTCTCTGGAGGTATCAATTGAGCCAAGGCCTACATAAACAGAAAGAAGTTATACAAGGTCTGGAAGAATCACATTCTAGGCAAAGAGAAAAACAAAAGTAAATCAGAGAGAAATAAAAAGTAGAAGAGTACACAGAAACCAAAATGAATACAATAGAGGTGAGGCTATTTCCCTTAGTTCTGCTCAACTAAGTCAAAATATTGGCATTGCTAAAAAGAGACCTACTGGCATGAACCATTAACCAAAGAATTTCTGCCTCCACCCCAAATGGCAAAACATGGGTTCATAATATGTGCTATAGATGAGCTATAAACTGCTTCTCCCCAAAACCCTTCCGTCACAATTTTATTTTACTTTTTTAAAGATTTTTATTTATTTCCTTTTAGAGAGGGGGAAGGGAGGGAGAAAAAGGGAGAGAAACATCAATGAGTGGGAGAAACCTCAACTTCTCGCATACCCCAAACCAGGGACGCAGCTGGTAACCCATGTGCTCTAACCAGGAATCAAACTGGTTAGTCCTCAGTTCGTGGTATGATGCCCAACACCCTAAGCCATACCAATCAGGGCTCCATCACAATTTTAAATACACTAAATGTCGGTTAATATTTTTAAATGCTTCATTTTGAAAATCTTTGAAAATTTATCTAAATTAAATGTTTCTTTTAAATATTTATAGAAAGGAAATTCAACGGTTATCAAAGGTTAATTCTTTGTTTGTTATGTTTTCTCATCCACACTAATAAGATGAATGAGCTAGGAAATAATTTTTCTGCTATCTGCTCAGGAAAATTTCATACTTACTATAGAGATTGAATCCTTATCATAGAGATAAAGGTGCCCAAAACAAAAATAATTACTTGGCATCTGTTTTACAGGTGAAAAATAATTTATACAGATCATAAACTCAATCAGGATTTACAATTAAATTAACCAGTCTTTATAATGTTAAGTTGAAGCCACTTACTATAGCATTAGCAACTTGAAGCATTTCTTCAAACAAAGAGTCTTCCTGTTTATGACGTCCACTTGTATCAACAATAATAATTTCAAAGTTTTCATTTTTGAATTTCTCCACTCCTTCAGAGGCAATGATGACAGGATCCATTTCTGTATAGCTATTTAACATGGACAAATGATTTAACAACCACAAAACAAAATTTCCAAATACTAACAATTTGTAAATTGTTATTATACCTTTAATCTATTTTGGAAAAGTCGTAATGATCTCAATTTCAGTTTAGAAGAATAAACTGTAATAAGTATTAAATATAGCAATGTACTCTGCGGTCCCCAATATTTTTGGCACCAGGGAACAGCTTTATGGAAGACTGGAGTCGGGGGCACAAGAGGCAGAGCTCAGGTGAGCTTCAGCGGGTGAGGACCCCTGAATTTACTTCTAGATCAGCGTAAAGCAGTATCCAATTTTCCATTTACAAAATCCTGTATGAATCAGCAGTACATCTCTTCTGAGAAGTTGTGTTTCCTTTCATTTTCTTAATACAGTAATTGAACTTATGTCACTTAGAGTTTCACACATGTTCTTTAGCACAGTAACTGAATTTGTGTTACCTAGGGTTTCACACACGCTTTTCCACTTAATATCCTTTTGTAAGCATTACAAAAACCATTAAATGTTCCTGTAAAACATGACTTTTAGGTTATACAGCATTTCATAAGATGGCTATGCTATCATTTATTAAATAAATGCCTTATTGTAGGCCATTTAAGGTCTTTCCAATTTCTTATAATTAAAAATATAGCCAATATTAGAAATACATTAGTGTTATTCCTTTGAAATTGTTATGACCCTTCTACAGGTTGAACTTGGATCTAATGGTCTGATCATTTAGACTTTCGATTTTTAAAATTAAACAAAGTTTAATTTTATTCCTATTTCACTATATTTTCACAATCTTCAAAAATCTTTTCAATTTGAAAATCAAAAAATGAGGACACATTTTAATTTGTACTCTCTTGATTAGTGGCAACTTTTTATACAGCTCAACACTGTCAAATGAAAAGATATAAAATGTAAAAAAAAGTTTTTCCCCAAAATTAACAACACAAATTATGTAGAAATACACTTAATAAGTGTGAGATTTAAATGAAGAAAATTACTGGTAAGGACATTAAATTTTTTTAACAAAAAAGACACAGCAGTTTCCTAAATGGAACTGTACAAATACAGTAATGATGTCAGTTCTCCCCTGAATTGATTGATTTCAATGTAGTTCCAATCAAAATCTTGGAGAGATACTTCTTTTTTGAAATTTCAATAAAGAATTCTAAAATTTATCCAGGGAAATAAGCTGGTGAAAATAGGCATGAAAATGTTCAAAAGAAGATACAGATTAGATATTACCATATATGTTAAATGTAAGATACAATTATAATTTATAAATGTACAAAGAAATATGATCAAAGATGTCCATAAGAAGGAAACTGATTAATTATATATGTGCATACAAAGGAATACAATGTCATAAAAAAGAATTACCTTAAACAATATAGTCTGTTACAGAATTATTAAGATCTCATTTTTCAATAATCATTTTAATGGAGTATTACATAGAAAAGTTGCACAAATTATCTACTCAATGAATTTTCACAAAGCAAACACACCCAGATCAAGAAACAACCACCAGCACCTCTCTCTCTCACCATCTTATGAGAGCCCCCTTTTAATCAACTCTATATTGGTATATTCACATATGATAAAATGCACTATTTTAAATGTTCATTTGGATGAGTTACACAAATTTACATAACCCATGTAATCACTATCACAGCAATTGAAGTACAAAGCACTGTAAGATTCCATTTCAATTTAAAACTATCTATCACCCTGGCTGGTGTGCCTCAGTTGGTTGGAGCATCATCCCATAAACTGAGAGGCTGTGGGTTCAATTCCCTGTCAGGGCACATGCTTGGGCTCAGTCCTGGGTTGGGGAGTGTGCACGAGGAAAACTGATAAATGCTTCTCTCCCCCCTCTCTCTCCCTCCCTTCCCCTCTCTCTAAAACAAAAAAGAAAAAAGAAAAAAAGAAAAAAAATACAATGATGTATTTACTAACTACACCTGTGTGTTCATTTGTATAGCCACTGATCACAAGCACAGATGGACACACTAAAAACTGGTAACTGGGCATTAAAACTGTCAGTACTTGTACTCTTTAATGTAAAACTTTTAATTAAAACAGTGTTTTTTTAAAAGACAGGAAAAATTCTATAACATTTCTGTATCTACCACCTCCCCCCATCAAATACTATATTTTTTAAATATATATTTAAGTGTTAAATATATATTTAACATTGCAGATATAGTTCAAGTTCTTCCCTAGTCCCATTACCTTCAGCCCTGCAAGAGGAAACAAAGCTCACTAATACTTCAGTCCATATATATCATATATTTTTTTAAGTTAAATGAATAAAGGAGAGATTATTTAATAAATGGTATTGAGAATACTGGTTAAGAATTAATGCTCTGGCTTTGGCCAAAATTTCAAATAATTATCAACTACATTATATCATTTGCAAATTTTGAACCCTACACATATAACTGTTTATTATCCCTTGATTTTTAAATCTAATTAGAAACATTCTTATCCTAAAAAGAAAATTCCTAATATTATTCTTTAATTATCTCTTAGAAATTATCATAAAAAATAACTAAAAGAAAAAAATTTTAAATAAAGAACATATCATGGAGGAAAGATGGCAGAGGAGTGAATGGGAGTCATGCTGACCTCCTCCTCCCAAGACCAAACTGGAATTGCGACTAAATAGTGGAGAAATCACCTGGAAAACAATGAAACTATAGTGGGAGAGGAGCCTTGGAGCCGCGGACAGACAGTGGATTCAACTCTCACACATCCCAACGGGTGAGAAGTGTGGTGGAGGCTCGAGAGTGTGGGCTGGGTGCCCACGGGCACTAGCACCAGAGGGACATTGGAACGGCCAGTTAGCTCACCCCGAGAAGAATGGGATCTGAATCACAAACAGGGACCTCTAAACGACAGCAGCTAAAACCAGGAAAATACAGACAAAACACAACGCCAAAAAGCTTAGTGGCACTCTCTGCCAGAGACAGGTGGCTGGGGATGCAAAGAGACATTTAAAGGGCCAACGCAAAAACTGCAGTGGCAGCCACCCTCCTTGATCTCTGGGTAGAGGCAGCAGCAGAGTGGGCTGGTGCCTGGGAAAAGACTGGTGAGGAAAACTTTGTGAAGAGACCTGAGACGGCGGCCGGTGGAGCCCGGGTGATAACGCACCTGCCCAGCTCGCTCAGGCATAAGGGACTCAATTAACCTGCCTTTTGTGTGCGTGTGAGCTGGGGGGGCTAAGTGCAGACTGGCTGGGAGAGCCTTGAGGAGAGATGAGACGGAGGCGTTGGGGAAAGAACAGGAGGAGGAACTGGGGAGTCCAGAGTCCCGACTCCTTCCCCATTCGGTAGTCTCCATTCTGGGCAGGCAGGGCGCACCCCCAAAGAGGCAGAAGCGGGGCCCGCACAAACCAGACTGCTCGTGATTGCAACGCCGTCCACACAGGTGGTGGATCCTTAGTCGAAGGGGTCACAGAACTGCAGAGACCCCTGAAGAGAGACTGGAAATGGAGGCATTGGGGAAAGAACGGGAGGAGGAACTGGGGAGTCCTAACTCCTCCTTTCCCTAGTCTCCACTGTGTGGGAAAAGGACACACCCCCCAAAGAGCCAAAAGCCGAAAAGCACACGATAGAGAGCCCGAAACCACCCAGTGCAGGTGCGCACACTTGTGCCGAGTGGCTGGCGAGGGTTGGCGAGCGTGTGTGTGGACCCGCGCCGGCTGGCAAGGGCTCGCGCAGGCTGGCAAGGCCTCCCACAGGTTGGCGCCGATGGCGCCTGCGAGGGAGTGCGCAGATCAGCGAGGGCAGGTGTAAATCGACCCACGTGGGCCCTCGAGTGCAGAGCAGTCCGCAGAAATAGTGGATCCCCGGTCGAAGGGGTCACAGAGCTACCCAGAGTCCCTGGAGGAGAGACTGGAGACAGGATTAACCGGAGAGTCCTGGAGCTGACTTCCTCCCATTTCCGTAGTTTCCATTTGGCGAGGGCAAGCGACGCATCCAAAGAGCCAAAAGCAGGGAAAGCACACACTGGAAGACCCTAAACAAACCAGTGCCGGGGCGCCCGCCAGCCTGGGGGGCCAGACAAGTACACGAGTTCGTGAAGAAGCCCCCTGGGCTGGGCCAAGCATGCCAGAGCCCAGGTGGTCAGGGGATCCTGCCAGGCCGGGGAGTGTGATCAAGGAGCCGGCGTGAGAGTGCAGAGCGATCCACAGAAATAGTGGATGCCTGGCTGAAGGGGTCACACACCTGCCCAAAGCAAGAGTCAGACACAGATAGTAGACTCCTGGAAGGCTCAAACAAACGACCCAAGGCCATATAGGGTCAACAACTGACATCATCAGAGGCAGGCCCAGAAAGAAAAGGGAAAAAAAATTAAATATATAAATAAATAAAAAGACCCGCCTACTACCACAGAAGTTTAATCCACAAAGTCAGGAAATCTAGACGGCCCAACTGAAGCAGAAACAAAAATAACTAACTAACTAACTAACTAACTTAACAAGCTCTCACAAAAATGGGAAGAAAAAGAAGTTCCCCCCAAATGAGTGGTAAAGGGGACTCCCCACAGAGAGAGCTAAATGAAATAGGAACAAGGGAACTATCAGATATTGAATTCAAAACAATGGTTCTAAGGAAGCTGAATGAGCTCAGCTAGCTCAAAGATAACTATGAGAAACTGCAGAGAAACTATCAGGATCTTACAACAAACTATATCAACCTGGAAAAGGACCTAGAAACCATCAAAAAGACACAAGAGGATATGAAGAATACCATTTCTGAATTGAAGAACACAGTAGAAGGAATCCAAAGCAGGCTGGATGAAGCCTAATATCGAATCAGTCAGATGGAGGATAAGGTAGAAAGAAGCGCCCAGAAAGAACAAGAAATAGAAAAAAGACTCAAAAAGAATGAAGAGGCATTTAGGGAAATGCAGGACAACCTGAAATGAAATAATATCCGTATAATAGGGATACCAGAAGGAGAAGAGGAGCAAGGGATAGAGAACATCCATGAA